TACTACTACTCCTGCCGCTGCTGCTGCTGCTACTACTACTACTACTACTACTGCTACTACTACCACTGCCAATACGACGACGACGACGACGTATACTACTACTGGACTCCTCCTCCTGCTGCTGCTACTGACAACAAGGGGGACATTTATCTTTAAACACTAAACGCTTAACTTGAACCCCAAATAGGAGGCACCTTGACCCTGAGGGTAATCCTTTAGCCTAGGGCCTAGAGGTGTCTCCATCCCTGGTCCTCGAAGACCTAAAACCGAAACGGATCCTTAACGTTCAAACCCCTGCACCTGATGTAGGACATTAGTATCTCAAAAACGGGGTCTTTGGGTATATTGTAGACTTGAAGTAGGAGTACTCAATATACTGTTAGATGTGAAACCCAACACCCCCCAACTACCCTCTATTATACTCTATATACCCACTATTAAGGACCATAAGGGCTCCATTAAAGGGTGCTTGGGGGGTGCTGGACAGCCCCTGCCGGTGTCAAAGATTGCGGGCATCGAGCTGAGGGTGTTTGTGATGCTACTCGGGCGAGGCCTTGGCTCATTTTATGCAAACGGTTGGGTCCGCGACAAGCCTATCACGGTTTAGGGTTTAGGGACTTGAGGATGTTTGTTTATGTTGGGGTTGAGAAGGTTGGGGCGCGGGGTTGACGAGCTTCGGGATTACTCCGCGAAGGATCTTTGTGCATATCCAAGTCAGAAGCCAAGTAACACAATCAGGTATGCAGAGGCGTTACAGAGGGACATACAAACTGCGAATCTGAAGACTTCAAACCAACACTTAAGCGGAACTTAACTACCAAGACACCCTCTTGTGTTGCGTGCAATCTTTCTAGGTGTACCAGCTCACGCACAACGCGCCATCATCATGCCAATCTTCGTTAGCCCAAAGCTCTCCAAACAAAAAAACGTATATAGACTCTACAGCCTCCCGCGAAAACCCTAATTGAATCCTACAGCCTCCTACCATAACCTCAAACCATCTAAGCCCTGTGCAGCCTCCTACAAGAAGAACGCTGCCACGAAAAAACCTGAACCCGACGCACTACGGCGTCCTAGGGGTAAGAAGCCCTAAACCCCAAACCCTAAACGCTACCTTCGGCGTCTCCACCACAGGCATCCCAGTAGACGAAGTGGAACTTGGGCCCCGCTGCTTGCCACTGGTCATCCCTGCACTTCTTCGCCCCTTTCCATAGCTTTGTGCCAGCTCCGGAGCTCCATGGCATCGCTACTGCTTCTACTATAGTTCTCGTGATTTATGAACTGTTCTAAAACTTAAAGATAAGCATGATCTGCGAAGTTGTGCTTCTGGCATCCAGCTGAATACTATGATTCTTATCCCGTTTTAGGGTTTTTTGGCTGGGAGGTTTGGAGTCCTACGTATGGGGTGTAGTAGTCATGACTCTAGCGATTCGAGTTGAAACTTCTGTAGTTATCTTCTGTAGGTACTGTAGTTGCCAATGCAGCTATGCTAGATAGTCAGAAAACACTGCTATCACGCTCTACTGAGGGTCGCTTTCCGTTGCCATCGCCCTCTTGCTCATAGCTACCATCATGTTCAGTACCGCTTCACGACAGCGTCATTCGGTAAACCTAAAACCCGGAAGACCTTCGTCTGGAAAAAAACACTGGGTCGTATCAGTCTGGAATAGGGCTACTATTCAGCGCCTTACAGATCTAGACTATGTATGATATTCAACTCTTATACTACTCTCACAGGGGGCAGTATATCATTCATAAGTTCATCCTGCCAGAATGTCGATTGAGATTTCCTCTCGAGCCCCCATGGCCTGCGCATATCGCTCAGGGAAATAACGTTGCAAGTCGGACGTAAAACTCCTGTTCGACCAATTTAAGTCACTATATTTCTACTATCTCCTCCCCCAAACACAACCCTCATCCCAAGCGGTTCAGGGCTTATAGGGCCTGGACCCTACTCCCAAATCTGGCTCGGATCCTGAACACTAAGCTCTAAACCCAGCAGCTCGCACCGAAACCCCAAGGCCAAATCCTGTCTCGAGCCCTGCATCTGGCCGTCGGGTTTTTTAGAGCTTTGAGAGTTTGGGGCATAGGGCTAGGGCGGTCTAGGTTTAGGGTTTAGGGTTCAGGAGGTCTAGGCGGCAGAACCCCTGAACGACGAAACTCTGAAATCAGCATCCCTGACTTGGCTACTCAAAACTCAGCGCGCATGCTCTCATAGACCCTGAGGGCCTGAACCGGTAACCCAACCTTCGAACCCTGAACAAGCAAACCTTTCAGCCCTAGCTAAACTACCCAAAGTAGGCGGCTATTATTCTACATAATTTGGGGTCCAGGTAGTACCTAGTCCCCAGCCACATGAATCCCCCAAGCCTTCACTGAATAACGAAGCCCTTAAGGCTTTTGAGAAAGGAAACGTGGAAGTGAGAACCCAATGCACCCAAATCAACCATGAAGCTGTAAAAAAATGGGCCCACAGAACCCAAAGCCCGAGACCCCATACCAAAGATATAGCAGACATAGCAAAACACCCTAACCCTAAACCCTAAACCCTAAACCCTAAACCCTAAACCGACAACACTGAATCCCAACCTCAGGTGACAGCAGAGCCAGGGCGCTTGCTCCTCAGCTCAGCATGGATACTACTTGGAGGGTCGGGAGACTTAGTAAGTGGGTAATAAGTAGACTTATAAGTACCCTAAAAGGGACCCTGATTGGGGTTATAGTACTTATAAGTCTACTAGCTTTCATGGATACTAGCAGCTACCCAAAGGGTCCAAGTTATAGTATAGTATATACTTTTGGGGCCCAAAGACCTACAAAGTAGCTACCATACTACTACTTGGACCCTTTGGGCTAGAGTCGCGTGGAGCTGCGGGATTAAGGGATTTCAGACCTTTGGGATTCCAGGGTAGCAGCAGCAGGAGTAGCAAGTCTGATGATTAGGATTAGTAGTCGTCGTAGTAGTAGTAGTAGTAGTAGTAGTCGTCGTCGTCGTCGGCGTATATATAGTAGTAGTAGTAGTAGTAGTAGTAGTCGTCGTCGTCGTCGTCGTCGTCGTCGGCGTATTATAGTAGTAGTACTAGTAGTAGTAGTAGTAGTAGTAGTAGTAGTAGTAGTATTAGTAGTAGTAGTAGTAGTAGTCGTCGTCGTCGTCGTCGTCGTCGTCGTCGGCGTACTATATAGTAGTAGTAGTAGTA